TCTTGGGTGAGAGGGGTTCATAGATGAAGGTTTGTTCCAACCTTTGTTCAGGTTCGCCTCGACACTGAAACGCGCGCGACGCGCGTACAAATGCAAAATGGGGTCGTGTTGCTTTGCTGCCTTGTTCATAAGTTAGGTTTAACTGTATACAAACTGGTTCATTGATACAGATTTTTTTTTTGTTTTCTTTTCACAGTTGCTCACTATTTGTTATCATCTTGTTCAACTGATAATAGAATATCTTTTTCTCGCCTCCTGTATAGTGTCTCTTTACACTGACGACTACCAAAGCAGGAACTTCGATAATTCACCTTATTCAGATCGTAAAAGGAAAAGGAAAAGGCAGAAGGATAATGAAACGAATGGAAGGAACGAGGTAATATAGTCAGAGGATAGTTTTGTTTGCTATTAGTATAACTGTTCCGGTGATTAAAGAGATGCACGTGCTCTGATTGGTCGAAGATTGCGTCATATCTCGCATTTATTAAACATTCAACTCACTATCTCTTTTTTGATTGGCCGAAAGCATACAATGATTTTTTTTAAATCAGTGCCTCGGACGTGTCCTAGTAGCAGATTAAACAATAATCATGTCAAGGACGCTCAAGGTCACGGGTATTCATTTCATGTATGACCGCGGTGCGTGATTTCTAAGAGTAATCATGTCAAGATCGTGCGCTATGTGTTGCTTGCTGATTTGTGTACTTTTTTGTATAGAAATATATTATCAGTTCTACTTAATGTAGTGATCATTTTTTTTCTCCTTCATTGTGTTATAAAACAATTGCTAGATTCGGTTGTTGTGATTTCTAGAATATTTAAGGTCTTGGTTAGGGCTATCAGCCGAACCCCACCTTGACCTTGATAATTCTGGATATCACAAAAACCTCATCCAATAATCGTTTATAATCACCTCACGCGCGAAGATTATAGCAGAAGTGCTAAATTTTAGAATGGCTGCCTTGCGTTTTGTTAATGTTACCGAGCAAGTGATAAACGTGATAATAAAAAATTCATTTCCGTAGAGAACGATAGATCCTATTTAGCTCGGTATAACACTTCTCAAAAGAAAGATTTGAAGTTTTTGCTAATTGAATTAAATTTACCCAATGAATTCCTGTGGAGAATGGCTGCTTATCTCGACACGAGTAATCAAAAAGATTATAATTTATTGGTTTCAACAACAAACGAATTTTTAACAGAATTCGAAAGCACCTGAGCAAATATGCCAAAGGAATTTTTCGCCTCAGGCTCAGTGAATGTTGTTGAATAGTCCTCTCGACTTCGTCTCGAGGATTATTCAACATTATTATATAAACATCTGTGAAATACCAAGTGAGCTTTTGCGCGGAAACATGTTATCTTCACACATAAAAGGATCACTGTTTCTATGGCTACTTTCATGACACGTTGTTCTCCTTTTAAAGAATGTTAAAGTGAAATGATTTAGTGTTTCGTTGGTGTTTGTATAATAACTAGAATGTTACATAGCCGCTTGGAGGTACGAAATTTCTCTTCGGGTGCTAAAAAATATTTCAACACGAGAAGAGTAATTTCGTATCTCCGTGTGGTCATGTAATACCCTCTATATATTTACTTCGTCTTCGACAAGTACTTGTGAAATAAATTCCTATTTGCCTTTTTCTCTTTTTGTTTTTGCTTCTTTCGTTGTAAATGTCACTTACGTTTTGCTAACTTAATTTAATTTTTTCAGCGTTTTGTTGAGATTGTAGAACTCGATCTCTCGGAGGATGGCCTGGCAGAGGAACCATATCAAGTAAATAGAAGGAAAAAGAAAAAGGTGAGACGTCTTTTCCATCCATGAACCCTTTGGCGGTTCTAGTCAGAAATCTATGTCTCGATTGAAAATAGAAACCTCAAAAAAGTGAATTGGAGTACGGAAACAGCAAACGGCAAAAATTTAAACTTGTTGCCTTTTGAATTCAGCCGATCGTGCATCTCAGTTAAAATACTCGGATTAAGTTGGGACATGACTTTTAAAGTGATTTTTCTTTGTGGGCGGGTGCAAGGGATGTAGAGAAAGTAAGTAGAATCAAACCTTCTTTTATTTCCGTGTGCAAGCTCGCTGGTTATCTGATGCATACGCACCAATTTTCTAGGAAATTTTTCAAACACTTGTTACGATTGTGAGCTAAAGTAAAGTGGAGTCTCATACGAGGACTCACACCTCTGACCCTTCGACAGAAACTCCACTCATACGTTCTGGGTTTGTTATGTCTGATCGCAACTGAACCCCTCTTTTTGCAGCAAATTGGATACTATATTGAATTTATTTAATTCCTTCTTTGCAGCAAGGAAAACAGCATTGGCGAGGCGAGGAAAGTCTTGACGACAACTTCGACAATCGACTGATAAATGCCCGAAGTAACTCACATCAAAAAAACGACAGAAGATTCCAAAACCCGCGTCACAAGAGAGATTTCAAGCACAGGTCTTTCCACGACGGAGAGTTTGACTCTAGAAATACTTCATTTGAGCAAGCGAGAGACTTCAATTTTACGTCCCGCAGAGGATTTCGATTTGACAATGAGAAGCGTGGAAAGAAATCCAATGCGCAATTCCTAAAGAGATATACTTTTTGAACTGTGAATATATATTTGAATGACCTTTTGACGATTTTATTTGCACCTTTAACCAAGTTTCGTTTTTAAGCTTTTAGTCTCCAATCCTCAGCTAAATCTGTATTTATCTCAGAATTTTTTATGATGTTTCAAAACAGTATTACGATTTATTGGATAAGTTTTTACCTGCAACTGACCAGAGACTATTTTGTTGGCGTACTCAAATTTCGACCTTCACAAAGGACATCCTTACATTTGAATAACGGCAACGAATTTTATTAAACGATCAGAAACCGATTCCTTTTCAAGCAATGGTTTAGAACTTGCGAAGGGGGAAGAAGTCGATTAAAATCTCACCCAGGGGCTCACAATTTTCTAATGTCAGAGGGTCATGGATGATTCCCATTATCCATCGAAAGTATATTTCAGATTATCCCCCATACCTTCCTCCCCCTCCCTCACCGCGCCCCCGGCAATTCGTCATGTTTCCTTCGCAATTCCCTGAATTTCAGCTCACCTGCGAGGATCATTTCTCTACTTCTACTCTGTTGCGTCGTTGTGGTTTTGCACCCTGTCCTTAACAAACCTTCGCTTGTCTCTCACTTGGCTTACAGGAAACAGAAATGCCTTCTTTTGTAACTTGACATTCGAAATGCATTGTAAAACGTACTTGCGCACGGGTGCTTGATGATGATGCGTATCACAGTTCGACACATCCATGAAGGTACCGAGGGTCATTCGCTACATCTAAGTCAGTTACGATTGCACAGTATTGTTGGTACTTTCGGGACTGTTTGAGCACTGCCGCCAAAAATATGCATATGCAATATTTTAGATGCACTTTTATTGGTTCCCACTGATGATGTGTTGGAGGACAGGCGCTTAGATGAAAACTGCGTACACCAACGACGGTGCATGCCAATAGGTTCCATGTTGCCGTATGTCTGTTCAGTAATAGATCACAGTCCGGACGTCAAAATGTGATAAGAGCATCAGACACTCAGATGCGCCTCGTATGCCACTTTTTTTTTTAACCACATTTTGACGTCCGGTCTGTGATCCATTAACGAAGAGACCCACAGCAACATGGAATCTATTTGCATGCACTGTCGTTGGTAGTTGTTGCACACGCATTTGGGCAAAACAAGATTTGAACCGTGCAAAAAAATTAAGAAACGTTAAAAGAAGGTAACAAAATCAGAGTTCAGTATTATGATTAAAAACGGCAACACTTCAGTTCAAATCTTGACGTAGCTATTGTTGCTTGGAAAAAAGGGTTAAGAATAAGAACTAAAGACGCATGTTCTAAACAGCTGGCTTAGTTTGTGAAGGAAACTCTTTGGGAGACGCCACAAATGAAAGATGGAAACAAACGTGCTGCCCCCTAACTCATTCTTTTGCTTTTGTTTTCACACAGTGCGACTCAATAACTAAGTAGGAGGTTTTTATTGGTCTGTTATTCCAAAATGATTGAGGAGCTATTCAATTTGTACATGGTCACGCAATAAAACGTTTTTTTTTTGTGGTTAACAATCATCATTAACTTTCAACTTTCATACAACAGTATTAAAAGAAAAAACGTATGATAAAGAAATTAATCGGCTTCATTAACCAGTCAGACTTACAAAAGATGTACTCAGGGAATGGCGAATCTAATTGAGCTATACCGGCATGTTCACGCGTTCAGTCAGGAAAATGAACTCGACCCAAACCATCTGCTTTTTTCGCTCGGCCGCTTTTATCACGCCGTGTACTCTTTCGCTCCGCCGTCATTAACTCGCCGTTAACTGTTTCGCTCCGATTTACTGACTGAACGAGTGGAACAGTCCATGCCATATAGTAAAGAGATTTAGAAGTTTGCGTGACCTGCGAAATCCTCAAGTACTCCCTGAAGAGTTTGTTCGCATTATAAAAAGCATCCTAACCTTTCCGGAACAACAAACATTAAGAGCGACCTCCTTAAAGCTGTCTCGTCTTTCATCGACCGGAAATGATTTTCTGTTCCCTTCTCTGATTACTGAAAAAGTTGGATCCAAACCAACTATGTCGTGGACCGGTTTCCATTTTAATCATGTAACTAAAGTATTTATCGTATTACGTGAGCAGCAAACCTGCAAGGCAGAGTTTTCTCACAACACACCGAGTATCTCGTATCAGGATGTCCGCCGGTGTATTATGCGGCAAATGGGTTCTTTTCTTCACGTTGTTTTTGTTATGTGACGTCTCTTCCCTGGAAGGTATTTGTTTCTGTCTGTTTACATGAGCACCAAGTTTTCCGGCATATTTCACCTGATAACGTTGCGCGTAAGGTTTAGCGTAGTCTCCCTCTCAGATTATCGTCAGTGAGGAAATCTCAAAGACTTAAGATTTAATTAATTCTGATGAAGAACTGATAGCTGAACTCATTGCGACGGGGAGGGAAGTGTGAGAAATTCACCTCAGATAAAATAACAGGAGGCTTTTTATTGCCAGACATCATTCAATTTTACTCTACTTGAAACCGGCGATTCTTCATAGCTGACATTAACTCGATAATGTTCAATGATAATTCATGTCTGAAATGAACATGGATAACAAAATGTACAGATGAGAAATGTACGTTTAATCACGTAACCCACTTTTGCAAAGTTCTCCATTCGATGTATTACAAATGTTTGTTGGCAGGTCATTTGTTTTCGAACTAGGACTTTGAGCCAGTCTAAAAATAAACTTCAACGAGTTCCCGGGAGAAATAGAAAGACTACGGCTCGCAATTTTAAAAGATTGTTTTGTACCTTAAATAACTTTTGTCGATTTTTTGACTCTTACAATAGCAAAAAAGTGAAATACATTTATGTACAACTTTTTCGAGGAATGAAGCCAGAAAGTGGCATGGTTTTCTTGTAACAACACACTTAAAGTACTCTGTTTTTTTTTGTTTTTTTTTGTTTTTTGAAATTATAAAATATTTGCATATCTTTGTGCTGAAAAGCTTTTCATCAGTCTTTTCAAGGTCTGTGCTCGAGTTTAAAATCTAACATAAACATGCGAAAAAAATTCAGCAAATACTTGCACTCGCTTTTCCATGATTTAAGAGAAAGAAAACAAAACACAGCTTCAAATGATTTTGTGCACGACTCCTTTAACTCTTACGTGCTCTAATTAACGGAAGAAACAATTATTCCTACATCGTTTTAACATACCTCCCTCATCATTTCACTTCAGAAAGGTCACGGAAAGTTGAAGTGAATTTTCTGCCAGCATTGTTATGGCGCTGTTACCCTGTAGCTTTTGATTTTTTAAACAGCAGGAATGTTGTTAATTTTCCCTTAATTGTCCAGTAATCCTTTAATGGCTTTCAGGTGGTTCTTGTTACTTGATAGCGCGTGCGCTGGGCATGCGGTTGAAGATCCGATGCGCAGCGGCATTATGCGCAACCTCAATTTCGCGCGTACTGATTTCTCAAGCTTTAGCGAAAAAGAGGTAGAGGGGGTAATTTTCTATGGTGGAATGAAAGAGGACTCCCTTCTGGATAAGATCTTGAAGAAAATCCAAAGGAATCATTGTGACTCATTCAGATCTAAATCTCCGCTCTCCGAAGCACGAAACCGCTGATTCAAGCATGTGCAACACTTCAATAGGGAAAATAAAAAGAGAGAAAAAAAACCAATGATGGCCTGATGCCAATTACTTACTATAATATGCTTAGAATGAAGTGGTAATCTGCGGAAATCTCTCTGTGTGGTATAGGAAGTGTCACTTGTATTGTTGTGCTCAACACAGCAAAAGGAAGGAAAACGTGCTGATCTGTCCCTCAACTTCTTTCAACAGAGCAACGTTACATTGACAGTCATGTGACGTGTGCAGACGACTTCATCGAACTTGGAATAAAATTTAAGTCGCATCTCTGGCAAAGCCTTTCTTCTAGACTGGAAATGCACTTGGCGGAGAAATACTGCAAGCCATTCTTTGCAAACAACTCACATGTGTTCATACGAACATCGCATTATGAATGCGGTACAAAGTTCAAGGTCACGCAAAATCACGTGATTTTCACCAACACCTTCATTGCCCGAGAAGAGACTGGACCTAAACAGCTTGTGTCTCACATCCCAGACTTGGACGTTGGTTTTCGATGTACTTACAACAGGAACAAAATTCTCCATGTTTCAGGTATTTGATGAAATGCTTTACTAAAATACAGCAACCGATTGTTTGTTAAAATAAACCAATCAAATCACAGGACAATGAAAAAACAAACTTTGCAACTTTCTAAAAACTAGCTCACTATTGGATCAACAAAACATTTGTACCGGCAAAAAATCCTGTTACTGAGCGGATAAATTTTTCGATTTCAAAATGGACGTAATAAAGTAAATTCAGAACAAACTGCATTCCACTCAGTTCACTCAATTACCATTGTTAATTTTAGAATGAATGCACTTTTGTTAAGATATCTTGTTCTCCTCACCCGATTTTAACTCTCATAATCTGAAACTTAATTTTCTCTTCTAGCTACCAAATATTTCCCTGCAAGTAAGTTAGGAGAACTTGGCATTTCGTCAAGAGAGAAACCTCATACTAACAATTTGTCTCGCTTATTTGCTTGATATCGCACTGATATTGCAAGGGACAGTCATAAGTCAATCTCTTCTGGATATTTTAACGGGTTAGAAGAAGTTAGAACATTTTACCTTAAAAAAACCAGAGGAAATATTGAAATAGAAACCAGTGTTATGATTTGATCTTTCTTTTTCAAGAAACAATTATATTGTTTTCATTTAGCCTCCCTACAACTGAACAAACTCCGCTCGAGTCCCAAAGAAGTCAGGACTTATTATGGATTACCAGTGGAGTTAAGATGTACTTTCGAATATGGCGCCTATCCCGTGCAAGCTGTGATATCCCACAAAGGGAAGGTTGTAGCCAGACAGCAAAATGGTACCCAGGCTATCACGCTCACAGCTGGGCAAAAGAACGACGATTTTGGTGTATATACTTGTCAGGCAGAGGATGCAAATCACAAGAAAATCACGTACGAAATCCAATTGAAGAAAATTGGTGAGCATTTACTTGATAAGGCTAGAATTGTTGCTAGTTTAACTGTGTTGTTACAATGGTTACTCAAAGGAGCTAAATTTGTAACAGAATGTGTTGTACATTGTGGTTGATATGAGTTCATTCAGACAAAATCATCTCTTTTCTCTGCTTTCTTTTTGCTATAAACTTTGCTAATTTTTTATTGGTCACTTTCATAGGTTGTGAAGCGGACAGATTGATAGATTTTTTTAATCGTGTGTTTGTCTGTTTTAACTGAG